GGTTTTCATATTTTTACATGGTTTTGTTTGTTCAAAATTTACTTGACCTGAAAAATATAGTGTTCTGATGGGTCTTGTGAACCAGCTCTAGGTTATTGTGTTTGAGTGGTTTAACAGCTTCGGTCTGATCTGGTTTTGACAAAGCTAGTCCTATTGAGTTCCGGCTCAAAAGCGAACAAGATTTTGTCAGAACCATAAAAGAAACCAGATCCAGCCCCACCTGAGACAAGGATTGGCTGGTCTGTCAGCAATTCTTTCGAGTTGGTGAGAGTGTGACACAATAAGAGACCCAATCAGAGTCTGATTTAACAAGAAAAACTCATGAACATGAAGTCACAACCAGAGATTATATTGAACTTTGGACTACTAGGTGAAGCAGAAGAAACAAACAAAACTGAGATTGAAAAAGTATGAATCAACAACTTATTAGCCAATTCGGTATTGTCTCAATTCCAAACTAAATCGAAAAGACCTTAAAATCAAGTTTATGGACAAGCAATAGTGTCAATTATTCTAATTCTCCCCTCAGTGAAGTGAACATCACCAGATCAACAATATACAAACTATGAAAAAACCAAAAGAATTATCATCTGGGATGAGAAATTAGAGCTTTTAGACATTCCAAATATGTACAAGAAGAGGAATTGGAGTTAAAAGAAAGAAGATGATCAATTTACAAAAAAACAAAAGTAAAACCTTCATATTAAGCTTAACCAGAGATTCAGGCGTCTTCCACGGAAGCTGCGGAGGCGCAAGCATCGGAATTTTGCTTCACCGCCGTAGATTCCATCGCCGGACGGCCGAAATTGGTCGGAGCATCAGGCCCCATGAGCTGAATCGCGGCGTTGTCGTAAGCGAGAGCAGCTTCCTCGGCGGTTTCGAAGGTTCCAAGCCAGATACGATCAGGTCGACCTTTGCGATGTCCACCGTGAGCTCTACCGCACCTGATCTCAGCCGCCCACTTCCCCCACGGCCTCTGCCTCACGCCGCGGAATTTCTTCTTCCC